TTTTTAAATATGGAGTAATATTTTTCTAGAAAATTATCAGTAAGATTCTCTCTTTCACATCATTTCACATGCTACTGTGTTCGCTCACCATCAACTTCCAAGAAGCAAGCAAATAAAACGAAAATTGTTTTTCCTTAACTGTCTTTTTCATATGTTAAGTCAACCACAGTAACTTAACACATAGGGAAAAGTTATTTTTTAAAATGAAAATACTGTCCAGATCAGTAGCTCACAAGTGTAATCCCAGTGCTCTGGGGGGCCAAGGTGGGAGGATCACTTGAGCCCAGGAGTTCAATACCATACCAGTCTGGGCTACACAGTGAGACCCCACCTCTACAAGAAAATTTAAAAATTAGCCCAATGTGGTGGCATGCACCTGTGGTCCCAACTACTCAGGAGGCTGAAGTGGGAGGATTGCTGAAGGCAAGGCGTTTGAGGCTTCAGTGAGTTATAATCATGTCACTGCACTCTAGCCTGGGTGACAGAGGAGACTTTGTATCTAAATAAATAAAATGAGAATATAGTTGTATGTTGTTTGTAGGAAAACAGAATTCTTGACTAAAGGAATCAAGGAAATTCAATATTAGAGCAGAATTTTTCTTCTTCTTCTTGTGCTATGCCACACAAGATGGATCCTGAATAGTAAGATCACTCAGTGTGTCAACATGCTAAACAAGCTAGGACAGGTGCTACAGGCTTGAAGTGATATTTGCTCCACTTTGATTTAGCTTTTGTTACAATGTTCACATTATTTAAAGGTACTTTTAAAATTTTCATGTTCTAAATTTACACCTCCCATTTTGGTATACACACCCAGATGTTTCTCCTTATATTCTAGTCTTTATTAATCTTATTTCTGTTGCTACAACGTAATCCACGTAACCATTATCCATCCTTACAAGGGCAGGTTTACTTGGTTAGGTTTTGCCAACCAGTGTAAAACAAACCATTTCCATCAATTTAAGGGATTGCTATGACTGAAAGGTAATCACGAAGAAGTATTTGCTAGTTAGGGGAAGGGTAATGGTACAGTGGAGACAAAACAATTTCATGCAAAGGCTTTAAGGGACTCATTTTCCACTATCACTTTTGCCATAATACACAATTTTCCCTAAATAATTCAGGGATCAAAAATTGTCAAGAGGAATGAAGCCAAGACATAGTATACCAACCCTACAGAGAGAAATATTCCACCTGCCATCTTCTCTGCCTAGTACAAAGTAATGAAATACTTCACTGAAATGTAGTTCTTTGTAAACACTTAAAAAGATGATTTTGTTTCTTCGATTATAAAACTATTTAAGTCCATAAAATGGAGATGTAAAAATGATGACATCTTGGCTGGGTGCAGTGGTTCACACTTGTAATCCCAGTGCTTTGGGAGTTCAAAACAGGATCACTTGAAGCCAGGAGTTAGAGACCAGCCTGAGAAACATAGTGAGATCCTGTGTCTATGGAAAAAAAAAATTTAATAGCCTGATGTGGTGGCTCACACCTGTAGTTCTAGCTATTCAGCAGGCTGAGGTGGGAAGATTGATTGAGATGAGGAGCTCAAGGCTGCTGATTGTGCCACTGCACCCCAGCCTGAGTGACAGAATTTTTGTCTCTTAAAAATAAAAAAAAGTAAAGCCTTTTTATTGAAACTACCAAAATGCCAAAAGAAAGAGCCAAGAGTGTCCAAGCCTGTGAACAATCATATAACAAGGTTATCTCAAGAGTACATAGATTGCACACGAAGATTTTGTCTTACCCCCACAATTGCTCTCTCCTTTCCACATTGCACTAGACAAAAATCCTCGCTACTTTTGCTCCCAAACCTTACCAAATCTATGCCCTCCACTTTTACCCACACAGACTTGGAACTTGTCTCCCTGATTCACCTCTATTCATTTTACCTCTGGCACTCATGCTGAACTTATCTTTCTGAAATATATTTTTGATTGTGCTATTCCTCTGCATTAAAACATTAAATAGCTCCCTATCAATTAGATGATAAAGTCTACAGCACACAAGGACAGCAGAATCTGGCCCCAACCTACATTTCCAACTTCCTTTCCTGAGGTTATCTCATTTATCCCATACACTAGAAAACTATCGTTTTACTTTAACCTACTGATTCTTTACAGCCAAGCTTAAACATCGCTTCCTCTATAGAGATTCCTTATGTCTCCAAAGCCTAATTTAAAAACTCCAACTTGCTTTCTCCCAGTAGCTCTTGGTATACACCAGTCTCACAACAAAGATTACCCTAGACTCAGTGCTGTCAAATACAAATATGCATGCCCCATGTGTAATTTCAAATTTCCTAGTAGTCTTATGAAAAAGGTAAAGAGAAATTGGTGAATTTTAATAATATGTTTAACTATTTAATCAAAAATAGTATCATTTCAACATATATATTTTAAAAATTAACAAGAAATTCAGAGTTTTTCACTACTAAGTCTTTGAAATCCAATACATATTTTTTACTTGCAACACATTTTAAATTCAGACACTAAGCTGTGATGGTTAATATTGAGTGTCAACTTAACTGGATTGAAGGACGCAAAGTGGGTGTGTCTGTGAGGGTGTTGCCAAGGGAGATTAACATTTGAGTCATTGAACCGGGAGAGACAAACCCACCCTCAATCTGGGTGGGTACCATCTAATCAGCTGCCAGCATGGCTAGAAGAAAGCAGGCAGGAGACAGAAGAGCAGACTTGTTGAGTCTCCTAGCCTTCATCTTTCTCCTGTGCTGGATGCTTCCTGCCCTCAAACATTGGACTCTAAGTACTTCCACTTTTGGACTCTCAGAATTACACCAGTGATTTGCCAGGGGCTCTCAGGCCTTTGGCCACAGACTGAAGGCTGCACTGCCAGCTTCCCTGCTTTTGAGGTATTGGGACTCTGACTGGCTTCCTTACTCCTCAGCTTGCAGACGGCCTATTTTGGGACTTTGCCTTATGATCGTATGAGTCAATTCTGCTAATAAACTTCCCTTCAGATATATATATATATATATATATATATATATATATATATATAATTATTATTAATATGTCCCTCTAGAGAACCCTAATACACTAAACTGTTTTCCAAAATAACTGATCTGCATTTACATTTCATAAAATTTATAACTGAAAAAGCGGATTCACATACCCAAATGTACTTGAAAGTTTTCTAATAACTGAATCAAATATCAGATTTTTATTTTAAATTGAAATAAAAATTAAATGACAGCTAAAAATCAGTTTCTCAGTCACTCTATTTCAAATACTCTAGTTTACTAGAATGCAGCTAGTGTCTATCATATTGGACAACATGTCTCTATTGTAACTATCTGTGTATGCATCTCTCTTCCCTACTTCATTAGACCACGTCTAACTTGCCTGTATCCTCCTCACTGCCTAGCATAAGGTTTGAACACACAAATGGAGCTTTAGGAAAGTTTGTGGAATTAGCAAAAATAAATGTGGAAGTCACTTGACCCAAGGGCAATATGAAATCAAGAGCATTCTTTTGTAAAGAATATAAATGGCATTTTATGAATACATATACACAATGAAATGTGTGCGTGCACACACACACACACATACACACAAATACTTCATAAACACACAGCACAAGTACATGCATACAAGCACAGGCCTGCAGCATTATTCACAATAGCCAAGATATAGAAACAACCTAAACGTTCATTAATGGATGGATAAAGAAAATGTAATATATACATAAAATGGAATACTACCCAGCCTTTAAAAAGAAAGAAATCCTGATATATGCAACAACATGGGCAAATCTGAAGAGCATTACGGAAAGTGAAATAAGCCAATCACAGAAGGACAAGTGCCCCACGTCCACTTATATGAGTTATCTGTAAAAGTCAAACTCATAGAAGCAGAAAGTAGGAAGGTGACTGCTAGGGTTAAGGGGACGAGGGAAATGCAGAGTTGCCGTTCACTGGGTGTAGTTTCAGTTATACATTAATACATTCCAGAGATCTGCTACACAACACTGTGCATATAGGTAATGATATTATATTGTACGCTTAGACATTTACGAGAGTAGAGCTCATGTTAAATGTTCTTACCACAAAAAGAAAAGAAAAGACAATTAATAGCAAAAAACAAAACAACAAAAAATGTGACTCTGGTATGGGATATTAAAAGTGAGGAAGTCTATGTCAGGGAGAGGCAGGGGGTGTATGAAAACTGTGCTGTCTTCCTCAATTTTTCTGTGAACATAAAACTGCTCTGAAAAACAAAAGTGCACTTAAAAGAATGAAGAAAAATCAGTTAAGTACATTCAATTTGTTACTAATTCCTTCAATAATAAAAATTACTTGAAACATATTGGTCCCCTTTCCTCTGCACCTTCATCCCTCCTTTCTCCTTCCCTTTCTGCATTTATGGGTATGCTACATAATTAGCACTTCATAATGTGTTTTTATATTCTCTAGTTGTTTTGTCCTCTCAAGTTGTATTTTAAGCTTCTGGAGATTGGGATCATTCCTTGCACTTTGTAACCGTTATCACACATGGTTAAATGATAACAATGAAATGCAAGAATTTAACAATTGATATATCATCAATTCTCAGATGCCTTTTTTCGGTAAAGGCTTTCCCAATCAATTTCAGAAGCCTAATCTCTCAAGAACATTCACATTGACAGCACTATCTCTGGATAGCTAAGACCCTGACCGCTTATATTAGCAATTTTTCTCTAATGTGCTACAATGTGTTTTCATGTGCAATTGTCCTTTACTCTTAAGAAAGTGGGATCATGTTTCTGACCTTTGACGCAGCACCCCACATTACCTAGTGCAATGCTTTCACCAAAATGGGTTCTTCTGTAGATGCTGCTTCCTGTTCCCATTTCTCACTTCCATCTCCTCTAAATGGCCACAGGATGCTGCAACAACATGGCAAGAGAGAATTCTGTAAGGGCATCAATCTCCTTGGCCTTCTTGCTCTATATCCCTAATAATAGATAATCCTGATAAATGAGTGCACACATGTAAATTTCCACAAAGGGAATTATAGTAGGTTTATCATTTATTCTAATTTTGCTTGAATAAGAACAAAATTAAGATAGACACACACACACACACACACACACACACACACACACACAAATGCCTCAGTGAATCAGTCACAGGGTTCCTCTAAGTCTAGGTTGCTGCCCTTTCTCTTCTGCTTGCGTAGCTCTTTGAAGGTCTCTATCTCTACAAGACTAAACTTGGAGATTAGCATCACGCTGTCATAATCAAATTCTTCATCAAGTGAGAAGGGTTGAACTTCATCTCCAAGTATCTATAAAAGGTAACAAAGGAGGAAAAAACATACACAATCATCGTAAATGAAGATAAAGTTGAAAAAATTAACTCTTTCTTAATATTTAATTAAACCTTTCAGACTTCAGCACTCTCAGCTGATTAAGCTGTTTTTAAGTAAAGGAATAAATTCAATTATTCAATTTGACCTAATTTAAGCCTCTTAATATGCCCCATTTGTACCATGCTGTATCTGAATGAATATCATTAACTAATGCTGCCCAAGGCAAGAATCAGAAAGTCTCCCTTGCATATACTCATTATACATTTTACCACTTGTAGTGTCAGGACTAGAGAAGCATACAGAAAAACTAACAATTACATTAAAATGTGAAAAAAAGATTTTTTTCAACCTTAAATAGATTTTCACCCTTTGCTAAAAAAGATCTATATTAATAAAACATACTTTTTAAATATAAAAATACCCTATATTGAATATACTTCTTCAGATAATACCTATAACTCCTGGCTAATAACAGTAAAACTTGAAACATAGGCTAAATTTAAAAGTCCAGGATCTCTTTTTTTCTACCAAGAATTTAAAAATATTACAATTTATCATAAGTAGTTACAAAAAGATGTAATAATTTTGAATCTATTCATAATTTGTGAGTTTTAAAGACTTCCTAAAGGAAGGCAGATATAAAAGCATATTTTCTGATAAACCAAGAGTATGCCTTAAATCTCTTGTATCACCCCCTAAAAAGCCTCTCCAAAAACAAATGGTGTGTGATACAATGAAATCATCCAGCACTTCTGTGTAGCTCTACAATATGTATAGTGATGCTGAAATAATTGAAAACTATGGTTTATGCAAGAATGAAAAAATGTCCTGAAGCTATAATCAGCTTTAAATATTCTTGCATGGAAGATGATCTCATTGAGTGGCTTTCGCAATGTTGGTAAAAATGTAGCATGTAGCTCAGAAACTAACTGCTGTTACTAAGGTTGAAGGAAAAAATAAGTAGTTATCTCCTATCTGTTCCACAAGTTATGTTTTGTGGTTAAGTGTGTAGTGCTAATAGCAAATGCTCAGCCATTTATCATCTTTTCTTAGTAAAATCAGCAGGAGAACAACTTCTGGAGATGCTTTCATTTCCTCTTTATTAGAAAGTATCTGAGTGTTTTCCTGACAAAACTGCTACTGAGTTTCCATGGTGAGTTTACCACGGTGAGTTTCCACCATGTGCCAGCTCCGGTACTAGAAACCACGTGGCATCAGCAACAATCTTCAAACAACCCTGCCGCTAGTCACTGTTAAGGTTAAGTAATTTTGTCCAAAATACACAGTAAGGGAGAGAAGAAACATCTGAATTCAGGGTAATCTGTTTCAAATAAAGCCTCACCAGCTCAACAGAAATACCAGCAAGAATGAATCTTGAAGTTTTCACTAAGCTAAGTAATAATTCTTTGGAGAGAAGACCTTTTCTAAATAAGATGATCAATTCTCACAACCCACCATTAGAAAAATGTACTAAAGGCTACATGTAATACCATGACTATTTTTTAAAAAACAGATGTATACAAAAGGCAAATCAGCTTGCAAGGCTGATCATTTTGATCACTTTCTGAGATCAAATTTATCATCAATATAGCCCAAGTGACAGTGGGACAATCTTGCTAAAATGGCTCAAATATAGAAACACACACATACAATGACATAAGATGTTCATTTTCTGAATATTAAGTGTTCTTGCTGTCTCCAGCTCTACTTAGCAGTAAGTACTGAAGCTTGAAGGCTTGGCCATAACCCCATCCAGAGCCGATTCTAGCTGACCCTGGCAAAGCATCAGGAGAGAGACCCTGTTTCCACGAATATATTCAGTCCGATGGGAATTTTGTGCTCTTTCATGCTTGGGTAAAGGCCTTTCATCATATGTCTATTAAGCTTTAAGCTGTCCATACCTACATATGTCCCCTCCACTAGGTCTTTAAATTTCACCCTGAAACCTCTAAAACCTGCCTACTCCTTACTAGCCATCCTCACTAGATGCAGTCACGTTATCTTCACCCACTTCTCACTTAGGGGTTAGAATGCAATTTCAAATTAGACAAATTGCTTTGCTGTGTTAAAATCTCAGTGACACCATACCATGCCCCCCACTTCCTCTACAGAACACAAATAACCTCACATTCCCACCTACCTCCCCTTACCTGTTCACTCAATAATAAACACTTATTATGTAGCAGATTTTGGGAACATAAAGTGATTATAGCAAAATCTCTGTCTACAAGGTTTCATAACTTCAAGGAGAAGACAAAAGTATATAAAGGATTTCAGTATCATGTGTCGTGCTCTCCAATAGAGGAATGCAAAAAAGGGAAATAGAAGCATAGAGAGGAAAGTGTAGAAGTTTCACTTACTCTTCTTTCTTTTCTTTTCTTTTTTTTTTTTTTGGAGACAGAGACTCTCTCTGTCACTCAGGCTGGAGTGCAGCAACACGATCTCAGCTCACCCCCGCCTCCCACATTGCTGGGATAACAGGCATGAGCCACCTCACCTGGCTACTTACTCTTGATTGAGTTTTGCCACTCTCCAGAAAATCCTACTAGCCTCCCTACACATCATTTCACTTATCACCCACCTCATCCTAGCAACCCAGATAAAGTAAGGCCTATATTTTGGACTTCCAAGCTCTGATCAGGGCTCTTATGGCCAAGATAGTTCTAGATACAGGCCAACCCACTGCTTTCTTAAGATTCTCCCTTCCCTCAGGTCTCAAAATACCTTGTGGCTATAATATCCAAACTTACAGTACTAAAGATATAGAAATTTATTCTTAAATGTAAATATCTTATTTTCCTTTAAGTTTTCTTTTTAATACATTTACATTCTTCTCTGTTATGGAGGATGATTTCCTTCATCAGTCACTTGGTACTAATGAAAACAGTAACATGGAATAAAGTCTTCAGCAAGTTGGTAAAGATAATGTTAACACAAAGATTATTCATATATATTCATATATAACATCCTTAAATGTATAAAAATATACTTAAAATATAAATTTATTCACTTAGAAATTAAGGGTTATTAACAGCAGCGATTGTTAGATTAACTTTATAGGTAATCAGACACTGAGATATAAAAGCAAGAAATAAAGAATAGTAATAAAATGTCATGTTTGCAATGCCAAAATATATAAAAAAAATTCAGGATATTCTAAACCATTTTTGGGATATACTATAATGTAGCCAGTATATCTCTGAGTCGAAACGTCAGAGGAATAGCCTGCAATCATTCAGATATTTTACATTCCACAAATTCTATGTTCCTATTAAATTCTAGTCACTGTGTTAGGTGCTGAGGATACAAAGATGAAGACCTATATGAAATCACAAACAAATGAGATACACACAAATACAAATCATTCGATTAAAATATGGTAAGAACAGGGTGATGGGAACAGAGAAGGAATACCTGACCCAGACTAAGTTCGAGGGGACTGGGAAGGAATCAGAGAAGGCTTCTTGGAAGAGGTGATATATAAGCAGACTCTTAAAGGGTAAACATTAGTTTACAAGTTGACAAAGAAGAGCTTTGCCGACAAGGGGAGTTTCCATGAGCAGGCCATGCAAATAAGATGCAGAATTTCACATTTGTGAGTCTGAAAGTAGGTCAGCATTGTCAGGGCACTAAGTGTAAGGCAGACAGGGGCAAGAGACAAATGTGGTGGCAAATGATTCTAGAGATGATGAAAAGTCATTGAATAATTTTTTGAAGGTTGGGAAGACACTTGGTCATCTATGCATATCAGATAAATTCCTTCATCCATTCAAAATTTTATTAAGCACCTACAATGAGACAGGTGCTGGAGTAAAAGAAAAAAAAAAAGCCCTGCCCTGTTGGAAATTATATAAGACAGATCACTATGAAGGTTAAACAGAGGGTAGATTTGAGCAGGATAAGCCTGGAGTCAGAAGAGTACTCAAGAACCTGCTAGAGCAGTTCAATAAGAGATCACAAGAACAGGGCACAGGTAGCAGAGATTTGAAAAATATGTAGAAAGTGACTGGATATGGAAATGTAAGAAAAGGAAGAATGAAAAAAGGGAAGCAGGTAAAGATAATCTCAGTTTGATCTGAATGCACTTGAAGGATTGAATATAGAAACCTGAAACTGGAAAAAAAAGAAAAAAGAAAAAGGTCTGAAGCTAGAGGATACTAATTTGGAGATGAAGATGGATTCAAGTATGTAGGATGGGAAGAACTGTAGGTTAAGCACAGAACCTTAAGGAACAACAACTCATAAGGGATAGATAGAGAGAAAACCCAAAAGAATCAGGGAAAAAAACAATCTGAGAAATACATAAAGGATCAGAGGAGAAAAGTGATGTATGAACCAATGAAGCAAGAGTGCCAGAAGAAGGTCAATGGTGTCAAACACAGTAGAGAGATCCATTAAAAGGAAAACTGAAAAGTGTCTGATGGATTTGGCAATCATAAAACAATGGGTGCCTTCATTCTGAAAACACCCAGGCCGGTGATTGGAGCCAAGGACATTTTACAGTATATTGAAGAGTCTAATAGCTTTTCAATTCTGGATGAAAAGAGAGAGAAAAGAACATACAGTAGCCAAAGAGGGGTCCAAGATGAAGGGAAGCTTGTTTTTCCTTGTTTTGTTTCATTTTGTTAAGGATAGGAAAGACTTTAACATGTTTACATGTTGAGGGCAGTAAACAAACAGAAAAGGGAGAATGACCCCAACCATGTTATTACTGTATACCAGAAAATCACTCCCCTTTAGTGGTGAGGTTTATTGTTTACTTATTTGTTCATTTAATAAATGTTTGCTGCATGTCTACTGTATGCTTGGCACTGAGCTTGGCACTCGTTCTGACCTTACGTGTTAATCAAGTAAGCTTATAAAGACAGGTATGAGTGAATTTAGTTTTCCAATGCAAGAGACACACAAGTAATTCAAAGTGAGCCTAGGTAGGTGCCCACCGCAATGTAGAAGATATCACTGTGATCTTCTAAATGACAGCTTTGCAAATACAGTAAGGTTGCATTTTTATTTATGTATGTCAGTTATTGGCTGTTGTAGCATACTTTGGGAATTCTTTTCTTTCAAGTTTAGTTCATTTTAGAGTTCAAAGCTATAAGATGCCAAGATTTTTAGATTACAAACTGAGATTCTGATTTATTTCAGTGAAGACTTCGTGCAATGGAACACCAAGTCCTCTGCTGCTAAACAAAAAACAACCATGAATTAAATTATTAACTTGTTATTTTTGCTTAAGGAGCCTGAAAGAAATATGTGAATTTCAGGTGTCTGATTTCAAATCTAATTGAAATTTTTTGTAGCCTCTCAGGGAATAAAATGTGTACACTATTGGAAAACTTTGATTCTCCTTAAAATTGCTCATGTGACTTATTTTAACAGAGACACTCTTGATGGAGAGATCGTTTTCATTTATCGTACCACATAGGCAAATTAAAGAAAACAGAACTAATGTTTAAATCAATAATAGCAGCATTTAGCTGTAGGCTACCATACTAAGTAATATGGTAAATAAACTGTCTTTGTAAGTGAAAACTTTTAGAGTCCCATTATGAATTGGAAAAACAGGAGAGCACCTATTAAAATACCACACAAGTTTCTTCTATGACCTTTTCAACAGTTTTCAGGGAGAGAGGGTGGGTATCACATTTTTTTTCATTCTCCTAAGAAGAACTCTCTTTGTTCTACAGAGCAGTTTAAAACTTCCAAAGTTCATCAAAATAGAGTAATTAAGGCAAGATAATCCAATATGCATAATTCTATACACAATTATGCATGTGTATAGAACCAGTGGTAAAATTAGGGAAAAAAATCTGAACAAAAATATGTTAAATGTTTGAAGTGATGGATATGCTAATTACTCTAATTTGATCATCCACATATATAGTACCAAAATATCACACTGTGCCCCATAAATATATATAATTATTTGTCAATTTAAAAATAAAAGCAAAAAAATATGTAAAACATTGAGTTGGTCCAATTGATACCACAAAGTTGATGGATTCTTAATAGGCAATTAAGAGAAAGTTCGGAAGGACATCCAGAATACATTTTCAGCTTTTCAGATTGAAATCACAGACACAAACTATCATCTCTAATCCCAAATGGTCTTTCAATAAGCCCTTATGGACACACTTGCTAGAAATTGATGATTATGTTCTTTTACTGGCACTGGATGCTTTAAAATAAGATGAATGCTATCAAACCAAGGCAGAGTTGGTACAGTACAGGTTGAATATCCCTTATCCCAAATGCTTGGGATAAAGCATTTTGGATTTCAGATTTTGGAATATTTGTAAAATATATACCAATTGAGCACCCCAATCCCAAAATTTGAAATCCAAAATGCTCCAGTGGGCATTGCCTTTGAGCATTGTGTCAACACTCAAAAAGTTTCCAATTTTGGAGCATTTTCAATTTTCCCATTAGGAATGGTCAACCTGTATTGTGATTCTAGATGGTTGTGAAAAGTTACTCTAAAAAATAGTAATTAGAAATAAAAATTTCCAACCAATATATTACTTCAGATATTCAAAAAACAGCAAAAGTTGTCCATCTGTGGCACACATCAATTTTATTTCAACATTTTTAAATGTCCACATTTCTGGTAAGAGATTCATATTCTTCTTAAATATATCATCATATATGGGGTCTCAACTTGAATTATATTGCTATTTGATAGATTCCAGAAATCATTCACTTTTTTTAACCCATTAACTAAAACCACTTGGTAACAATTTCTGTAATTGTACTAGATTACTCTTTAATTGTACCAGATTATTCTTTAATTGTACTAAAATAAAACTGTATTCTATACAAGTATTAGGTGCCATGTCTACTGGCTGGTCCAATAACTTGTATGGCCACAAGTGAAGTCAATAGCATGAAAAAATCTTTACAAAAAAAACTGATTCCTTCTAGAAATAACCTCACAATTTTAGCTTCTTACAACTCAGAGAAAGCAATCTATAACTCAAAAAGCATATTGAGAAGTGGCTGTCCCTACCAGTTTAGTAGGTAATCAATATGGGAGTTTAATATAAACCTGCACGCCTCCTGGATATACTTTCATGATGTCAGTGAATAAAAGTACTATTAGAAAGTGGCAATTTAAGGCTGGGCGCGGTGGCTCATGCCTATAATCCCAGCACTTTGGGAGGCCGAGGCGGGTGGATCATGAGCTCAAGAGATCGAGACCATCCTGGTCAATATGGTGAAATCCCGTCTCTACTAAGAAATACAAAAATTAGCTGGGCATGGTGGCACGTGCCTGTAGTCCCAGCTACTCGGGAGGCTGAGGCAGGAGAATTGCTTGAACCCAGGAGGCAGAGGTTGTGGTGAGCCGAGATTGGGCCGTTGCACTCCAGCCTGGGTAATAAGAGCAAAACTCCGTCTCAAAAAAAAAAAACAAAAGAAAGTGGCAATTTAAAATTAAAATGTGTGGATTATTTCTGACTGAATGACTAATTCTGTAACAGAATATCTTTTAGTAACAAGACTAGTACCTTATGATTATATAATCCGAAAAGACCCTAAGGATGTTATTAGAAATCAAAAATAGAGAGGCCTTAACAACTTCTTGTGCCTGATCTCACTTTGTATTCCAGTAAGAAGGGTGAGAAAGGTCACTACCAGCACTAGCAACAGCCTCTATTAATGCACGTTTATTAAGTATTAAGTAGAAGAGCTGCAAAATTATAGCAAAAGATGACGTTCAAGTTGCACATTTGCAAGAGTAAAAGCATGGCATAGATTCAATTTTCATGATTAGGTGACACTTTCTTGGCCTCCCATGTGGCTAATATAAACATGTAACTAAGTGGTCACCAATGCAATGTGAGCAGAAATTAAGGACCCTGAGTCCTAAGCCTTGCAGAAACATGCTGCCCCTATGCTCTTCTCTCCTGCCTCTCCAGGTATGATCATGATCTGACATGGAACACACAGGTGAGGACAATGTCCTAAAATATAATGGACATCCAGAGAGAAGGAACCTGGGTCCCTGATAACCCCCCAGAAAGGAGCCACCTACTCATTTTAAGGGCTCTATACAGACTGTTAAATAAGAGAAATAAACATCTATCTCTTTTCAGCCACCGAATTATTATTATTGGGATTCTCTGTTATAGCAGACTGGCCTTACCTTAACTAATTCAAAAGTTTATAGAACCCTACCAATAATTGAAAAAATGGCTGGTTCAGACTAAGCAGGGCAAGAAACTGTCCATTCTTTCTGTTGTGTAGTCCCTGGGTAGCACTGCTCTGTAGCATGGCATACATTGTAAAACAAAAATGGTTTCCACATAAAAACACAATTGCACTATGTGTTTAAAAAGAAATATGTACTTTTGGCTGTGAGAGGGACCAATCAAGCAACTTGATTTTATATTTTCCCAAATCTTAGAAAAATACAAAAGCATACAGGTATGGTAGCATTTCTTTGAAAGGATAAATTACAGAATCAAGGCAATGTGGAGAATGACTGAATTCCCTGTGGAGTACCTCCTCCGTCTGTTTGTCCATTCTTTTTACAGTGGGCTTTGGCTTCGCTTCCCAAATGGGAGGCTGGGCCGCAGAAGGGATACAAGAAGGAATGCTGGTGCTGACATTCTGCTCCACTTCTCCTGGAAGCAGCAGCGAATCTGTTGGATACAAAACATTTCAATAGAGCCTTTTGCCAAGTTCACAATTTACCTAAATCATCTAACTGCCCAGAAGTCAAAGAAAATGAAGCAAATATACTCATGTAAAGTAAGTCCATTTCACAACGCCTGCCTTCCTTTGGGAACTGGACTCAGGGGATTGCCCTTTCCATGTAATAGAAGTTATTAGTGCATTTATTTTTATTTTATTGTTGAAAACTTAAGACTCCCCCCAAAATGTCTAGAGGAATGCTGTTTTTGGAGTAACCTGACTGTCCCTTTTACTCTCAACTCAATTTTGACTTTTATAGGAAAATAAGGCAATAAGATGTTACTTTTGCCTCATTTTCCCATATTTTCCTGGAGGGATAAAAAGAAAGAAAATGGAGTACCAATTTCATCCTGTAACAATATGGCAATATTTCAAAAATCTATATTAAAAGACAATAATGCCAGAAGAAAAGTACTTCAGCTTTCAGCAGGAAAATGAAATACTCTGTCATATTCAGAATGCAGGGTCTAATTTTCAACACTTGCAAAGAACAACAGCAACATGTTTCCTGCTTGTTAAGCACAATCTCAAGAATTCAATAACCGATCCTGGTTTTCTGATTGATCCATTATAAGTGGATATGTCTCTTGATTTTTGCATGTGTGGTAGCATATGGATGCATCACAGACAACTGATGATTTTCCACAGGTTTCTTTAAGGAGGTCACAGAAACAAATAGAAGCACGACAGGTTTCCTCCTCAGTCTGTTTTCACAGGACCAGAAGGGCTTACTAGAGCTCGCCAATAACTTGGAGCCAACTCTGGATAATGCTGCCTACTTCTCAAGGATGATCTTAATCAAAATACTAATTAAGTTTTCAGTGGAAGTGATCAATTAATAACAGGCATGACCTGACTGTTGCAAATGGCAGCATATATAGGGAGATAATTGAGCAGGTATTGATATTCAAAAACTGAAACTTATTTGTAATGAATCCCTCAACATTGTAGCTATCCCCTTCACAAAAAAAATATAATTACAAAATTCTTATGACTCCAGCAACAGAGAACACAGACAGCCTGGAAACAGAACTGTTGAGGGGAAATGGTAATTCTGCTATGACTAATTATTGAAATCTTAGACTATGAGCTCATTAATTAGCAGAAATAAAAACAATAATAACAGCCAACACTTACATACTCGTCATTTTATATGCTTTAACTCAGCTAATACTCCAAAAGCTCTATTATTTCCTGTTTTACAGGCAATGTGCTCTACACACTAACAGGTAGCCTCACTCAAGATCCCACAGCTAAAAAGGGCAGAGCTGGGCAGTCTATCTACAGAGCCTGTGCTCTTATCCTACAATGTCACATTATGGACTTCTTTTAAATAAGCATTTTCATCACATATTTTATTACTGTATCAAATTATACACTCAAACTCAGAACCAAGAAATGTCACTATTATAACACATTAGCATGGTTCGGCACAATTAAGTACATTTCCCAAACCTTTCATACCCAGAGAAGCAACATTTTAAAATTAGTTGAGGTTGGTGCAAAGACTAGTTTTCTAATTCACCTATTTACGAGTTCACACCCAAACTCCCTCACTGAGCTTCCTCGTGTAACAGCCTGGGACTGGTACAAATCTGGTGAGGGACCCACCAACGATGAAAGCAACAAGAGAAAGCCTGGGGCCTCTCAACATGAAAACCGTTATCTACCTCTGACAGCACAATCATCAGTTCAAATGTGAAATCAAAGTCAATTCTGCTTTCAGGGCTATTTAAAATCATCGTTCTGGCTAACAGTATTGTGCAGTGAGGAGGATAACTCTGCAATTTCTTTACTGAAACTTCACTTCTCTAATCTATTTGCCAAGAAGGTAAAATTTTCAACAAAAATGACTTCCTTAATAATAATTCTACTGCCATGGGAACAATTATTTCAAAATAACAAGACTCAGTATTCTCCAAGTCTTAAATTCTTGTCATTTGTTTCTTCAAAGCAAGAGCAAAATGCACCAATGCATATCTATTAGCGCCTAACGTAGCACCTTATACATAGTGAATTCTCAACAAATATTTGGAGATAGAAAACGAATTTTGTACACCTCAACTTATAAACTGGACAGCAAGAATCAAGAGTCTACCTGCCAATAAGATGTTGTGGATGGTGTAAAATAAGAATAGCCCTTGCCCTCAAAAACAAACATTACAGGAATAAGATTTTCATACATAAAATCAATCAAAGAATAATCAAGAAAAAATTGAATGGCTCCAACCCTGAAGATGACAGATTTATAAAAGGGCAAAAACAATATGGATGAGAAGAACCTGGCAAGGCATATGTTGTAAAGAAAACTACTGCAATCATTTAGCCCTGTTACAATCATAGGTGGGTTATATATACACTCATTTTCTCTCAGGAGAAAAAAATGGCTGTATTCAATGATGGTAGGAAATGAAATTTCTGAAGTTCTCTGTATAACTTTCTAAAACAGAAGTGTTTTAAGCGACTTAATCTGATCATATTAGCTGTTATTTCTAAAACAATCAAAGGCTTTGTTTTCATCTTAATGGAATGACACCATCTTGGCATACAGAGTCTGGGTAACTTTCAAAAATGAATCTTGAGGTCAGATGGCAAGACTAGTTGAAGTATTTTAATCTCTTCTTTCTCAACCACATGTTTAGAAATTCTAACATTTAAAGTATCTGTTCGTATCATTTGTCTCTCTATGTTGTCAATGATCAGCAAGTCAAAGACTATAGCCATGTAATTAACACAGCGTTACAAAGTGAGCAATCTATGTGACATCTGAAAATTTATACTACAATAATACTTAATCTGCCTAGCATATTTATAAAATTAACCAATCTGTTTATTTGTTGCAACATAAAATTGCCAAAATTTCCTGAACATGTTGGCCAAATACAAAAAGGATATAGATAAAAAATACTTTAGCCATCCAGTCCGCTTCTAAATATAGCTCCCAGCTATGATAGCCTTGTTCAGTAGTTCTTAAAAATAATCGAAGACTCCAAGCTTCTTTTGTTTATATGGGTTATGTGTATCAACGCTCATCATATTAGAAATTAAAACTGACAAGTATTCCAATATTGATATATTAGAATCATTAAAAATAATCAAGTTATATATTAAAATAAGTATTTTTATTAAAAATCTATTTTCTAAAAACAGAAAATATAGAGAAGAAAAGCATTATTTTATATTTTTTTGAATATGTTATAATATCTGGCTGAACAGAAGAAAGTTGAATTCTCTAATTGCTTCTGCATTCAATTTTGGAAATATGCTGTTTTAGTTGAAGTAAAGAAAATCTAGACTCATACAGATAGGGAGTTGGAAAGGAGAGTAGTATTTTAATAGTCTTTTTATATATTTGTGGATATTTTTCCTTGATACTATACCATGATCTGAAAAATGATAACGTTTTCTAAAGGTTATTTTCAATGAGCAATCTGAAAACCTGTCAGTGAATTTTTTTTACTGCTACATTAAAACCCATTGGTCTACCTTGCACACTGAATGGATCTTTCTCCTATGTATAATTTTGTAAACATCATTAATTGGTAATTTGGAAAATACTGGTTCACTGTGTATTGTAGATCTTCCAAATGTTGACATATTTCATTATACAGTATAAAAATCACATCAGTTAATATCACCAATTTTACCAGAAAAAGCCTTTAAATATTAAGAAGCTATCAAACTCCCAGTACTAGATACAACTGCTCTAAAAATCTAATTTTCACTTGATCCATTGCCAATTTTATCATTGGCAACAAATACTATTAGCTCTTAGCCTTGAAGATAGAGGCTCACTTCATTCATTTTTGAGAAATATAGTTTGTCAGTCATTTTTTCAAATAAAAATGGTGATCCATGAAAGAGAAAAATAAACTAGTTCAGCACACCACTAAATCACCCAAGTGTTTTTCCACAACCACTGTATTTCAATATGTAATAGAAGTGCCTTATGAACACTTCCTATTTTGGCACACAAATCATTAAAAAGAGGTATATTTAAGAATCAAGATTTAATAAAATTAATAATTTTTACTACTTCATCAAACTTTCAATGGAAACCGGCATTTGTTTGGACAATAAATTTATGACAGTGAAGACGACAACTGCTAGTATAATTTGGTGCCACAAACTTGATTCACACTAAGGCACCAGCATCTTCACCCATCATTGCTTTTCCAACTTTAATGCAAACATCAACAAATGACCTGCAAATCTCAGGATTTCTAAGGTGTTCCCAGACGACATCCTCAGGGATCTGCTGGTCTAGCTAATGTCAGTCCAATCCTCCCACCATCAACTAGAAAAGCTAGATAAATTACAAAAATCAACTATTTAAAGGCATTGGAGAAATACCAGGGTAGCCCAGGACTTGAGGAACCAAGATTTCAGCCACAATTGTTAAATATTCGTTGAATAAGAATCCCTAGTCATTCACGGATGGCCTAAAGCTGCTTAAAGTTGAAAATTAGGCAATGACTTTAAAAAAAAAAAAAAAAGAGGTAACCAATGCCATCATTTGTATGTACTTGCTCACTAATGGCAATTAATCCCATTAATGGACTAAAAATGACTGGAAGTTGCTACAGTTAGGATATGGTTTGTTTGGCCTCAGCAAGTCTCATGTTAAAATCTGATCCCCAGTGTTGGAAGTAGGGCCTAGAGGGAGGTACTTCGTTTGAGAGTGGATCCCTCAGGAACGGTTTGGTGCCATTCTCTCTGGAGGGAGTGAGTTTTTGCTGAGTTCTCATTCTTAGTTCCCAAGATAACTGGTTGTTGAAAACAGCCTGGCATCTCCTTCCCTCTCTCTCAGTTACTCTCTTGTCATGCAGTTTCCGCACATGTGGCTCCCCTTTGGCTTCCACCATGAGTGGAAGAAGCCTGAGGCCCTCCCCAGAAGCCCACACTGGCTCCATGGTTCTTGCACAGCCTGCAGAACCACAAGCCAAATAAACCTGTTTTCTTTACCCGGCCTCAGGTATTATTTTACAGCAACATAAATGGACTAAGGCAGAGGTACAGTACTGGAGAACCTGAAAATAAAAATCAGACAAGGCTGCCAACTTTGAGCAGGAATCAGTGCCCATTCTCAGTCAATGCAATCAGCCACAGCATAAGTACACCTCCAGCCAAGAGATGTGTATAAGACAGTATGATTCTGAGAAGTAGATTTAAAAAAAAAAAAAAGGTCTCTTCAGCTACTTGCACTCAACCAGAAAAGAGGTTGAGCTGGGCCACCTGAGGAAGCATGAAAATAAAGATGAACAGAAAATCTTCCTTTTCTAGCGGCCTCAGCATAATAACTAACGGATCTAAAAGATGATTGTGCTGGGTAACAATTTGGGCCAGTTTGTATGAGGCATGACAGTCACCAGGTTAACTACCTCATCTCAGATTCAAAAAAGGAAGAATAGGTTAACTTGATGCCAAATAAACATAGTGCACCAAACTCTGTGGTAGACTACCCTTAGAAAACTGCTTAATACCACTGCATAGAATTGGCTCCACTGAAAAACCATCTCCACTCTTTCCACCTGAGCTGCCAAATAATAAAACAAATATTAGAAGAGAATCATACTCCTAAATCTTGGAGAATATTTATGAGAATGAATGGGGTGAACAAATAAAGTAAATGGCAGAAAAACAATATGCAAGCCACTTTCTTGTTGCCCCAGGCAAATCTGTTGCTTAAACAATAACAACAGAATCTAATCAGTAAGCCTCCCAACTGCCAAAATTATGCAAGCAACTTGACTATTTAATATGTCACATTTCCCATCTGAAATAAATATTTGCCTTCTGCTCACATTCCTGAAGTGTGATACAAATTAGTCCGAAACTAAAATTCACCTTGGCACAAACTATTTAATTTCTTTTTCCTTTAAGTGACCCAGATTGTGCATTATAAAAATTGTAAAGCCCTGGTGGCCTTTTCAGTAATTAGAATAGATCGCTGAAACCTAGGTTGATTTTCAGCCTAGCCTTTGCACATTTTTCTATCTGTGGGAAGATCTTGACTAGTTCATTCAAGTCTTGGTGCAGCCTCAGTTCTCTTTGACACACAAATACAAGAAGGCTTGTTATCTGATTTCTGGAAAAACCATACTAGTAAGATTTTTTGTCATTATTTTAAAATAAATCTGTTAATTGAAAAATGTAACTTGAAAAAATATTTAAAGAAAACAATGAAAATACTGGCGAAGGTAAAAAAGCTAATTTAAAAGATTTACGTAACAAAAATTAGACCTGTTGGCTATGTTGGTTTATGCCAATATACAGACTTCTCATACTAGCAAGAGGTGAAAAATTTTAAACATCACAAAAGTGCCCAAAACATGTACTTTTGTGCCCTCTTATGAAATTTATTTTATATTGCACATGTATTACATGCAGATTAGAACCATTTGTCTTCACGTGTTATCCTCAAACTAATTATATTAGAATCCTGTAGGGTGTTGGTTAAAATGCAGATCACCAGATGCCACCAAAGATCTTCTGAATTAGATTCTCTATTGGGAAGGAGACCCAGAAATCTGCATTTCTAATAAGGTTCCCTCCCCCAAATCACCCAAAACCAAAAACATCGTGCTTCCTCTACAAATGTAGCTTCCTGACAAGTCCTTCACTCTGACTTCTAAGCCAATTGGAGTGCCTATGCTGCTCTTATTATAGAAATTCAGAGCCACTCAGGGAATTAAAGTTAGAGATATCCTCCCTGGAGGATGTGATCCCTCTAGACCTCTAATCTCACTTAAACCAAGTAAGTAACTAAAGAATCTGCAACATCTACTGGTTAACAGTGTGCTTGAGAAGCAATCCTTTCATGGGATAGTGTGATGTTTGAAAGCAGAATAAAAATGTTCATTGCTTCCAATTACCAAAGTCTCTCAAATTCAAGCAGCTGAAGAAGCTAGAGTAGAGGTTTATACAACCAATGTATAAATAGTCACCATCCCCAAATCAACTTTACCTAGTCACTTTAACATCTGTCTGACTATAAATAAGCCATTCTTCCCTAACACTAATGACCATAATTCATGTTTATAACTACCTAAAGACAGTAAACAACAGTTAAACATCAACAACCAAACTTCCATGGAAACTGCCCCTTCCCCAAAATTAGGCATTGATTTTGATATATTCTTGCAAATTAAATCAGGAATGAGTGTTAAAAAAAAAAAAACTCCTGATTTTGAACATATTTCAAATGTCCTTTGAGAAACAAAGAATACCTATGCATGTGGAAATGTTAACCAGAAAGAAAGAAGTTTTCTTCTATATAAACATCAACAGACTAGCATGAAGCCTTTTTCAATTCAGCCAATGCAGAAAAATGCCTCAGAAGAAACATTTACAATATATCTTTAGTATTAAGGGTTTAATTTACATATTTAATAAATATTTTTAAAAGGAAAAAATAGGTTTTCTTTTCCTTTCTTTAGAATAGCTCACTGAAGCCTGGGTAGATTTTCAGCTTAGGCTTTCCATGTTATTCTACATGTGAGAAGATCTTGACATTAGTTCACTCAAGTCCACTGAAACTTGGTTCAGCCTCAGTAAACTTTAATATAAGGCAAGACTGCCTTAATTTTATTGATCAATTCTGATATTGTCATGATTTTTATGATTAATAGATATTTTATGTGTCTCTCAAAAATAATCTCAATTTACAAGGCTGTACTTCTAGGAAATAAAGAGTTGACTTACAATGGCTACACTTGAGACAGTTACCTAAGAATCAGTCCTGTGATGAATTATTAAGGGGGAGGGCATATTTTTATTTCTTTTAAGACCAAAGGTTTCACAATCTTCAAAAGGCTTTGACCTTTTGGATGAAATTTTTGTTACTGAAAAAAATAGCTCACAACTTTAGTTTTTCCTGTCTCAAGAGAGGTTGAGGTAAGAATTGTCAAAAAAGGAAAGCTACCTAAAGCCTTATTTGTAGTTTCTAGAAAGATATTTGAAAAACCTGACAAAAGCAAGCAATGGGGAAAGGATTCCCTGTTTAATAAATGGGATTGGGAAAACTGGCTAGCCATGTGTAGAAAGCAGAAACTGGACCCCTTCCTGCCACCTTACACTAAAATTAACTCCAGATAGATTAAAAACTTAAACAGAAGACCTAACACCATAAAAAACCCTAGAAGAAAACCTAGGTAAAAACCATTTAGAACATAGGCATAGGCAAGGACTTCATGACTAAAACACCAAAAGCATTGGCAACAAAAGCCAAAATAGACAAATGGGACCTAATCAAACTTCACAGCTTCTGCACAGCAAAAGAAACAATCATTAGAGTGAACCAGCAACCAACATAATGGGAAAAAATTTTGCAATCTACCCATCTAACAAAGGGCTAATATCCAGAATCTACAAAGAACTAAAACAGATTTACAAGAAAAAAAACAAACAAACCCATTCAAAAGTGGGCAAAGGATATGAACAGACACTTTACAAAAGAAGACATACAGGAGGCCAACAAACATATGAAAAAAAGGCTCATCATCACTGGTCATTAGAGAAATGCAAATCAAAACTACATTAAGATACCATCTCACACCAGTTAGAATGGCAATCATTAAAAAATCTAGAGACAACAGATGCTGGAGAGGATGTGGAGAAATAGGAACATTTTTACATTGTTGGTGGGAGTGTAAATTAGTTCAACCATGTGGAAGACAGTGTGGTGATTCCTCAAGAACCTAGAAATAGAAATTCCATTTGACCCAGCAATCCCATTGCTGGGTATATATCCAAAGGATTATAAATTGTTCTGTTATAAACACATATACACACTTATGTTCATTGCAGCACTGTTTACAATAGCAAAGACTTGGAACCAACCCAAATGCCCATCAATAATAGACTAGACAGGGAAAATGTGGCACATGTACACTATGGAATACTATGCAGCCATAGAAAACGATGAGTTCGTGTCCTTTGCAGGGACATGGATGAACCTGGAAACCATCATTCTCAGCAAACTGACACAAGAACAGAAAATCAAACACCACATGTTCTCTCTCATAGGCAGGTGTTGAACAATGAGAACCCATGGACACAGGGAGGGGAGCATCACACACTGAGGTCTGTTGGGGGGACTAGGGGTGGGACAGTGGGGGTAGGGAGTTGAGGAGGGATAACATGGGGAGTAATGCCAGATATAGGTGATAGGGATGGAGGCAGCAAACCACATTGCCATGTGTGTACCTATGCAACAAACCTGCATGTTCTTCACATGTACCTCAGAACCTAAAGTGCAATAATATATATAAAGAATAAACAACTATTAAGCAAAAAGAAAGAAAGAAAGAAAAAAGAAAAGAAATAGAAAGCATACCCTGGCTCATTTGGGGTTTAATCTCTTCATCCATGTCCAAGACTTCTAAATCTAGGAAATTGTCTACCTAGAAAAAAAGAATTAACATCATTTTTAAGCAGAATAGACCTTAAAAAAAATGCAATGAAAAGTCAATGAATCCACTTTCACAACACCTAACTGAGTAGCTGAATCCACTTTTCTCATTAACTCTTGAGTCCCAGCTTTTGTGTTCACTGTGCTTTCCCAAGGGACATCTGAAAGAAGCAGTAAATTTGAAAGCTGGCCTGGATTTTCTAGGTACCATGGTCAGATCTCTCCACTGAAAGGGAAAAAAGCAGTCTAAGAGTTTTTTTAAAGGGGACTTTGTTCCAGATTCTATCCCAGAATATCTACCACAAACATGACAATTGAAAACAGTGTTTCTGGGTTTTGTTTCATTTTATTGCTTTTGCCTCTCAAGCAAATGGTAGTGGTGGCTCTGGCTACCGTCAGAACAGTGTGCTTTCTTATAGCACTCTGAAGAGCCAGAGAGAAGAAACTAAAGAAAGCAGGAGAGAAAGGTTCATTCAAAACAAAACTACAAGAGAGGTGAGCAGGGCAAAAAATCAAGTGTTCTCTCTTTCGAGCAAATAAAACTGAAAATCACTTCAAAGGTAAAAAGCAGAGCAAATGACCTTTACAGACACAATAGCAGCATTTCAATGAAAAACTTTCCACATGGAATACTGCTTCCCACTGCAAGCTGACAATGAGACATTTTAGATTAACAAAATGGTAACATTTAGACATGAACTAATTCATCTCAAGTGAATATCAAAGAGTGTAAATAAGAAAATGATCTCACCACTGGCAGGAATGAGACCTAGTAAAGGAATAAGGTGGCAATGCATTTTATGCTCATGACCTAAACATGTGCATAACAAAATATCATAAAACTACAAATTTGCATTTCATTGGAATTCAAAAGACAGGCTGGATCTTTTCTTCCCCCAGCTCTACTTGTGAGACCATAGCTATTACATAGGAATTTTAAATGGTACTTCCATTGCTTTTAAGTACATACCTGTAGTTATTAACTGGCATCCAAGTGAAGGCAAAAATTTATGTTCCATATAATGGTTTCACTAGCAAAATTTGAAATTCTCTCATACTATACTGTTATTTACTTAGCGGTGTATGCTAAGGGGGACTGGAGTCATGTTTCTCTATCAAAGCACCCCTTTCATTTATTAAGCTCTAAGAAAAAAAGATCTAGAACCCAGCTGACCAAAAACAGTTTAAGATATTCAAACACCAATTAATAATAATAATAATAACTTGTAAGGACAAAATCCGTTGAATTCTCCAACTTTGTATAAGGGAGAGTAAATGAGTCCTGTGTTTTTAGTTTGTTTGTTATGTTTTTACTTTTTGCCAAGAAAACAATCATGCCTTACCTTCACCTTTTCTGCCCAATTCAGATCACCTTGAAAAGAATTGCCAACTTTTTGGCTTTCATCCAATACTATCTGAAAAAATACTTTTTGGCCTTCACCCATCACATATTGATGGAAAAATGAAACAACTGAAAATAAAGAAGCTGATCTTTGTAGCCCTTCAGATGACATAACTCCCCTTCCAGTTTTTGTTAATTAGCTAAGCATAACAGACCAAATTCAGTAACCCATGGCAGAGGTCAGGGAATAGGTTTCAGGAGCTCTGATACTACTTCTGTCCTGTAGACTCATCCACGGTATAACCTATAATAGACTATTTAACCTCAGTCTTCTCCTGAGTCAAATAGGAATACTCCTTACTCCTATCCCATCCCAATAAACATCTGATGAACAAATCAGAGAATTATAACACAACATTTTCAAGTTATTAGAAAACACTGTCATTCAACCATTCTTTGTTTCTCACACGCTGGTTAAAGACTCTCTATATAATATAATCCCAATGGTCAATCATTGCCAGTAAAGAGTGAATCCTCTAGGGAAAAAAAAATTCATATCCCACAATTATCTCTCTGGAAGCAAGTTCTGGAAATAATTATAGGCATCTGCTGTATATAAACATATTTCTAAGACAGAGATTTTTGTTCCCTTGTAAAAAAAAAAACACAATATACAATATTGCAAGGAAGACATGATGAGGCAGAAATTAGAAACTCAAATAGCTTAAAAAGTAAAACAGCTTCCACTAAAATTCCTTGATAATTAAAAACCATAGCTGAGGAGAAAGTGAAGAGTCTATAAAGTCTTCAAGATTAAAAAAAGAGTATCTAACATTTATTGACCAAATCTTAGAAAAAAACAAGATTTCCAATTCTACATTGAGTTTGAAAGAGATAAATCTAGGACGGGTGAAAGAAGTCCCATTCTGCACAGATAATTATAGAAAGGAACTCTTTTGTGCCAAATAGAATAAGACAAGCTAAAAGAAGTAATTTCAATAATTTACAGATGGCAGATCCTTAAGAACTTTTTAACAAAAATTGGAGATAACCAGTTATCATCATAAACAATAGCTGTCAAAATCATGGAATACATGCAATGATGACTTCCAATAAAGTGCCCCAATGGCACTCCTTCTAGAATTAGGAGTTACAGATCTAATAACTGTCTAGTGTTTATTAGGGTCTCTTTTTTTTAATTCATGAAGAATTCTTTTCTCCTCAGATTGTTTCTATAAATGTACTATGTTGTATTATTACCTGTTTTTCCAAACATTGTGATGACGTACGAAGAAAGATGGTTTTATTTCTAAGATGGTAGTCATTTGCTTCATTTTTATGAGTAACTTTTGCTGAGATAAACATGTTTTCTGAAGAATCAGTTTCAAACACTCCCCTTTTGGACATATGATCCTCTGAAATAAGAAGTTATGCACTATTAGAAAACATCCACAACACCCAGTCTGGTTTATTTTGTGTATATTGAGAAAGTTCCTTCCAACAAAAAAGAATACTTTTCAAAGAATTCTACAAACTGAACATTTGAAGCATTAAGCACTCTTGGTATCTCAAGCACATAGAGATATCATCTCACGCCAGTTAGAATGGTGATCATTAAAAAATCTGGAGACGATAGATGCTGGAGAGGATGTGGAGAAACAGGAACACTTTTACACTATTAGTGGGAGTGTAAATTAGTTCAACCATTGTGGAAGACAGTGTGGCGATTCCTCAAGGATCTAGAAAGAAATACCATTTGACCCAGCAATCCCATTACTGGGTATATATCCAAAGGATTATAAATCATTCTATTATAAAGACACATGCACATGTATGTTCATTGCAGCACTGTTTACAATGCACATCAAAGATAGACTGGACGAAGAAAATGTGGCACAAATACACCATGGAATACTATGCAGCCATAAAAAGGGTGAGTTCATGTTCTTTGCAGGGACATGGATGAATCTGGAAACCATCATTATCAGCAAACTGACACAAGAACAGAAAACCAAACACTGCATGTTCTTACTCATAGGTGGGTGTTGAACAGTGAGAACACATGGACACAGGAAGAGGAACATCACACATTGGTGTGTGTTGGGGGATGGGGGGCTAGGAGAGGGATAACAGGCGGTGAGGAGATTGGGGAGGGATAACATTAGGAGAAATACCTAATGTAGGTGATGGGGGGATGGAAGCAGCAAACCACCATGGCATGTGTATACCTATGTAACAATCCTTCAAGATCTGTACATGTGCCCCAGAACTTAAAGTAAAATAAAATAATAATAATAATAAAAGGTCAAATCCATAAATAACACCAGCTCTGGCCAGCTCTCTACTACTGCCTACTGCACCGGCACCAGTGACTTCTAACTAGCTACTAGAAGAGAGGTAGCCCCTGCCTTTTGCCTCAATAAATCCTTGGAAATTCTGGTGTGAAGCACCTAACAGCTGTTGTGGGGGATGCTGAGCAAAGTATGGGGAAGATTGCTAAGAATATGCCGGAGTAACCAGCCCTATACAAGATGAAATGAGGAAGAAATGGTCTGAGGACTTAGTATCCCTGACTTCATCCTCTTTTACAATCACAGAGATATCCTGAATTAGTCCTAGGGCAATAAGCAGTGGTAGCAAAGTAAAGCAAGATAGGCATGGAGACACTTGGAAACAGGAGTTAACTGAGGGATGAAAGGGTTCCTCAAACTTCATCAATGTTCAAAGGAAAGCAGACTTCCTGTGGCTACTGCCATGCCAGTGCTCTATTCTAATAAAAAGTGAAACAGTTTCAGTTTTCTCTGCTTATAGTTTAAAAGAAGTATAACCTAAACCTAGTAATTACTAAGAAAATACTATGTACCCAGCACAACACTATTGTAATAATCTATTGACTTAAATACTTGAAAAGCACAGTACTGTCTGAAAATAAAAGATGTTCTACAAGGACAAGTTCTATTTGCTCTCACAATCATTCAGTGTACTCTACTATTTCCGATAAAAACTCCCAGGTTACGTGACAGGTAACCAGATGAAACTCCTTTGAAGTAAAGATCAGAATATAATGAAGTCCCAGCTTCTGATGCTGATGTGGGACTATTGTTGGAATATCAGATCTAACAAAAATTCTCATCTACTCTTTTAAAATTTCTCCTTTCATAAACACAAAGTTTTCCTTTTTAAAAGACGAGGTGATGCAGGAAAGAACTTGTTCACTCTCTGACAAAAGCTACAGTTTAAGGTTCCTTTCTAAACTTCAAAGTTGGTTTCATAAGAATATATGCAATATCCCTCCAAAGACCCAGAAGTGTTCCTTCTAAAGGCTTTTATTGTTGTTTTTAAAATCCAGCAAATAATAAATATCTTGGCACAATGAGATAGGAAAAAAGTTCTTTTCCAACACGATAATGTCAAAATGGCAGATGCTTACACAGCCGGGAATCTGGAGTGGCTGAAAGCCTGATTAGAGAGCCAGATGCCGCTTCCCATAGTAATCCTGGTGCAATCCAAATGTGCCACCCAAGTGTTCATGTCATCTTCTTCTGTTTCTGTTTTTCATCAGAGTCCTCTTCCACCCTTTCATCTCATCCCTAATGTTTCTTGCTTTGAAATAAGTGTCAGACATAATACGATTTAGAAATCTAACAGCAATATTTCAGAGAACAAGTAGGTTATTGAGACCTGAAAAAGCGTTTCTTTGGGCATTTCTAAGTCAAAACTTCAATACAGATGAGACAAAAAGTTTTTTCTAAAGGTTTTTCGAGGTTTCATTATTCTGAAGCAATGGAATTTCAATTTCCTTTTGATACCAAACAGACAAGCTTCTAACAGATCTCCCTTACAAGGCCCCCACTACAGCTATAGGGTCTAATTTCAGAACAAAGAAAAAGGTTACGCACCTTGAAAAGGTTGAAACTTTTGATGCCTTGATAAATTAAACACTAACCACGTATTGATTATACATCTTCCAGATAAAAGTGATTATTTTTAAGAACTCAATTTTGAAAGAAACTTTTTTAAAAATTCAAATTAATCTGTACCAAAGCCAAACTAGTGCCCATGCAATGAGAAGCATTATCACACTTGCAGGAGAATTTTCACAGATTAGCACAACCAACATTAGAATTCACAACCAAATCTGCCAGCAACCTCAGAGTGTCTGTTCTTCTACACCCTGGTCAATAGCAATATAAATCAAGAGCATGTTCTCAGTTGAGAAGAGATATTGAATATATTGATAGAGGGAAAGAAAAATTCATGGGGGGACAATTCCGTGCAACACGAGGCAACTGCAAAAAGCCTTCTGCAAAGAGAATAGGGGATAAGCAATCATGCTTATAACAAGGTTGGGTACTCTGAAAGTCAGGGTGTGATTTTTGCATTATACTCCTTGCCTACAGCAATGTTTCTCTGGACGATAATGTTTGCTCTTGATTTGTCCAGCCAAACTACTTCACTCCACTGTTTCTTGATCACATGCTCCTTGGTATCTGGCCTCCCCTGCAGCGATAGTTGTTAGAACTAAATAAGCAATTTAAAAACCAATCAATCATAAATCAAAATAAATCCAAAGAATCTAAATTCAGCAGGCAAATGCTTTGTCTAAATTCCCTTTGCAGTGCTCTGAATTCCAACTGTTTTATGTTCCTCATTTGAAAGGGCACGGGGAGGAGAGGATTACCTCAATCTGGCCAGTCAGGAATAACTGTGCTTTCCCCGAGGCAGGATGATAATTGACTCATTATTCACAGTCATAGCCATCAATCTGCCAAGGCACAAATGCACAACACTGGCCTGGAAAAATGTGTATGAAAAGCCCCAGATGAGGGACACAACAGCAGTAAGTTGAAATTTTTGAAATGTCCAGTGTTAGGCACTTACAGAGAGAAAAATATAAAGAGATTGTAATGTTTCTGAAAGCTTATTTTCAGACAGAAAAAAATTCTGTGTGATGTTTGAGTTCTGGAGCTCATTCAATCCAAAATTATATTCTGGCCATCAACTATGTGCAAGGTGACAAAGATGGGTAAGACCCAGTCCTCGTTGTCCTTTCAGAGTGTACAAACCAGGAAGTTAAGCCATATATGCAAACCACCAAAAGAAAAGGCACCAGTGGCAGATGATATAAGGGAGACACAAAGACAAAGAATGGTAAAATCATAATTGATTTCGGAGAATCACAAAGGCTTCACATAGGACCAGGGCATCCAGGCTGGGCTTTGAAAGATAGCTACAATTTCAACAGGTGAGCATTGTGAAGTGGTCGTTTTATAAAGAGAAAATTCCATGAGCAAAGCCCTCAAGGTGAGAATGAACAAGGCCTAAGGAAGAATCACTGATTATTTCAGGAAGATTTGGGGACACATGGAAGGGGTATATTTAGAGGGTCTGACAAAAAACTCTGTACTTGACCTACATCTTGAAGAGTCAAAATTAGAGCTGTACTCTAAGAAGAAAAATAGAATGGATCAAAGTGGCTCCGGTACTAGAGACAAGAAAGTGTGGAGCTACCATAGTCACCCAGGTGAGAAGTAAAGGGAGCTTTAGCTATGTGGCGGTGATGGGAACAGAAGAGATTCAGAAAAGAAGAGTTCACAAGTGAGTTCTGTTTTGTGTTTACAGAACAGAAATGGAGGCAATATCCAACTAGTTATGTTTCCTCTCTCCAGATATCACAGAATCATCACCTTATCTTTCCACTGCAATCTGTACTATACTTTTACATATAATTTGGCATGCCCTAGATAACTTTTTTAAAACAATCTCTGTGATGGTGGGTGTAAATACAGCATGCTGGCAACCTGTTGAGTGGATTACAGTTTGGTACAGAGAGGCCACACATACCCATTCCATAAAATGAGCTTACCTTCCCAATTGACTTAGTCAAGATTACAAAAGAGGTGGCCCACACTGGGAACAGATGCAGCATATTTGAGCATTGCCTCTTACAGCTCCAGAATTCCTAACAGAGCAACAGCTGCTGATGACAATGTCAACACAGGGTAGAATCTGTTATATCCAAGTTTGTTTGGTTTTTGTGCCACAGCCCTTTTCTATGCTAAACTTACAAGTCTATGCACAATTGATTTATTTTCTTAATAGGTAATATTTATAGACAAGTGGGACTCTCCTAGTTCTTGAGTTAAACCCAGGATCATAAGAACACATGCTTATCTAGTGAAGAACCCAAGGAGGATCTAAGTAACCATGAGCCATACCTCCACTTCCCCACAGCTTTACTGAGGTGTAATTTACACACCACAAAACTCAGTCATTTTAAGTGTACAATTCATTGACTTTTAGGAAGTATACACAGTTGTACCACCATCAACACAATTCCATTTTTAGGTCATTCAATTACCCCAAAAAGGTGCCTGGAGCCCATCTGCAGTCACTCCCCATTCCTACTCCCAAC